TTTCATAGTTAAGGTCTTAGATTTAAGTCTTTAATTTATTTTGATTTAATTTTTATATTTGGTGAGATATAAGGGTCTAGTTTTATTCTTTTGCATATGGATATCCAGTTTTCCCAGCACTATTTATTGAAGAGACTGTCCTTTCCCCAGTGTATGTTCTCGGCACCTTGGCAAAAATAAGTTCACTGTATATGTGTGGACTTATTTGTGGATTCTCTATTCTGTTCCATTGGTATTTGTGTCTGTTTTTATGCCAGTACCATGCTGTTTTGGTTACTACAGCTCTGTAGTATGATTTGAAGTCAGGTAATATGATTCCTCCAGTTTTGTTCTTTTTGTCAGGATAGCTTTGGCTATTCTGGGTCTTTTGTGCTTCTATATACATTTTAGGATTATTTTTTCTATTTCTGTTAAAAATGTCATTGGTATTTTGATGGTCAATATTTTCCATTTTTATCTTCATGGAATTTCATCACCATTGGAATCAATAAAAATTAAACCACAGCCATAGATCTTTAATATAATCAATAAAGTGGGAAAAGTTCCAATTTTTGGGAAGGGGTGAGGAAGGAGAGAAGGAGAGAGGAAGGGAAAGAGAAACTGGCAGGAAAACAGAATGTGGCTATCCAGGCTAAAATGAAGCCTTGTTAGAGTTACCTACTACCTGAGACAATGGTGGCTGAAATAAATCACTGCCCTGCCTGCCCTTGGGGTTAAGTTGGCTTTCAGTATTGGAAAGAGAACCCATGAGAAAAGTTTGCTTTAGCAGATGTGTTAAGCTTCTTGTGAGAAGGAAAAGTCACTGAATGGAGAGATTACTACCAAGAGTGATCTAGACAACAAAGCCTCAAGACAATGTATTATCCATGGTTAATTTGCTAAATGGACAATTCCTAAGCACTCTGTTTAGAAGTGGTGGGGACATTTTTTATCAGTGAGCAGTTGATCAGTCTTCTCAGTGGGTATTTTGACTCAGCTAAATGGATTGAAAGCAAGATTTAAGAAGGGTGTTTCTGTTGACTTCATTTTTTTTTCTGGATTTTTTGAAAAGTAACATTTGCTTTCTATTTTTTTCAATAAATTTCAAATACTTCATAATATAGTGTGTTACTTATATAAAATGTTCGTTGTGTGACCATATAGATGGAATTGTGTCATTTTGAAAATAAAAAGACTATTGTCATTAGGGAAAATGTAGACCAGGAAAAAAATGTGATGTTTGGTTCCTCAGGCTCCCACATCTCAGAATTCTCCTTTTGTTACCACCATTCAACTAAAGCAGACAGTTCTTTGGCTGAGATCAAAGAGCCTGCATTCTGGGTCTCTGTTCCAGTGCATCTATTGAAGAAAGTTACATAGATCCCACTTTGACTCTATGTGGTGGAGAGAATGAAAGTTAGTCACCTTAACAAGGACTGTCAATAATGTTATTGTGTGAAAGATTTCCCTTCCTTCATTTCCTTCCATAGCTAACACCTTCTCTCTCTCAAACTGCTTCTCGTCTGGCTGAGTAACTGGATGTCTGTCACAGTGACGCACATCTGTTGGGAATCTATGGCTGGGTAACTGAAGCAGTGTTTCCACAAAAGAATGAAGGTTTCTGTACATTTGTTCACAGTCTTTGGCATATAGTATGAGATACTCACAAACATTTCTTAGCATGAGTCAGTGTGAATAAATGATTGTTTGAAAACTCATTATTTCAGACTTTGTTGATTCCCCTCTCCTCCATATTGGCTCCCAAAATAGGGGGAAGGGAAAGTTTGGAAAAAAAATCTAATACTCATTACAATCACAGATAATAATTTGAGTGGATAACAAATTTCAAGATACAAAAGGATGGAGACTGGTTGGAAATATGGGGTAACTTAAAAAAAGATGAGCTTTAATACTCAACCAAGTGCCTTTAAGATGGGAGAGAAATGGGTTAAGTGCAGCATGTGTAGATACAGCCAAATTTTCCTTTGGCTGTGTTATATCAGTGCCAGAAAGACTAATGCAATTCTAGATGACCTCAACAGGGCCATGCAAAGTTTTAGAAACCGTGGCACAAAAGGAATCTGACCTGAGTAGGAGGCCTGGGAGGGCCAGAAGGCACTTGTACATACTCTGGTGGCTACATGAGACAGAACCAGAAATATAATAGTACATAGAAGTTTCAGAAGGGCAGACTTGAGTTCAGTGTAAGAAAGAACTTTCTGGCAGAATTATCCCTTTAGGTGCGTGGAGGAGCAGGTTTCTCAAGTTGTATATGTTCAAGAAGAGGCTACACGGCCTCTTACTGAAGATTTCCTATCAGGTTGGTCTAGATGAGTCATTAAATTTCCTTCTATTGATATAACTCTGTGGCTGTGGTTCACATGCCATGTTGTGAAATAAAGTGAAGTCACGTGAAAGATGAGAAATACAGTTTAAGGTCTCTAAAAGGAGATGGCCTTTAATATCCTCCATTTTCATAAGGGTTCCCAGAGCAAAGCAAGTAGGCAGCTGTCCATGGTGCTGGAAGGAGGTGGCCCGTGTGAGTAATTGTGCTCCACTGGTTTTCTTCATGTTTGCTGTTTCTTGTAATGCCTTCTGGATTTTCCCCTTTTCTGTTCCTGATAGAAATCTACACCCTTCCCTCCCCATACACGCTAGGCCCTTCACTAAAACAAAGAAAGATATGCATAAGAAATGTGTCAAAGATCTGAGGATAAACTACCTGGGGCTCCCTTCCTTTGCTCCGTCCCAGCAGTAAATAAATCCATTTCATTTTAAAAAGTTCAACTTGGTATGTAAAGTTGGACTGTTTGAATGGATGGATGTTAACAGTACAAACCAATTGTTTTGAGACACTTGTACTGATTTGCTTCTTGATTTCTTAATTTTATCCTTTCTATAGTATGTACATATCCTGAAAGGAAATAATCTTAGGCAAAAAATTATTTTTATGGTGGAGGTGAAAGAAACGCTAAATGTTTTAGCTAAACAGTTCTGTGGCCTTAGGTACACCCAGGAGCTGTGTGCTGGTAATGAACCTGTCATCTTCTTCACTCTCTGTGTTGCCTTTCCTATCTTATTTGACTTTTTGGTCCCTTAGCTTTTCCCATCTATAAAATGGAGACAATAACAGCATTATCCCTTTGCGTTGTGAAAATGAAATAAGTTAATATATGTAAAGAACTTCTTGAAGCAATACCAGGTGCACACATAACAAATATCAGTGTTATTATATAGCGTGTTGGGGGTCCTCAAGATCACCCTATGTTTGATAATTTACTAGAACTCACAGGACACAGAAAAGCTGTCATACTCACAATATGGTTTATTACAGAGAAAGATACAAATTACAATCAGCAAAGGAAAAAGGCTCATGGGTTGAAGTCTAGGAAAGACCAGCTGCAAGCTTCCAGTTGTCCTTCCAGTAGTCACATGGACATAATTTAATTATCTCAGCAATGATGTGTCACATGTACAAAGTGTCATCAACCAAGGAAGCTCACCTATGCCTTGGTGTTCAGGGTATTTATTGTGGAGTCAGTCACATAGGCACGCAGTGCTTTTGTGACTGACCTTAGCTACTCAGTCTTCAGCCTCCTCCCACCCCACTGGCCCAGAGAGGTCAAACTGATACAGGGTGACCTAAAGCCCACGCATACAAAAACTGGCATTCACCATAAATCACACTGTTAGCATAAACTATCTGGCATGACTCAAAATCTCAAATACACAAAGCCATTCTTATCAGGCAGGATATTCTAAGGGCTCAGAGGAGCCAAAGACTAGTCTTTATTTTTGGAGACAGAGTCTCACTCTGTTTCCCTGCATAGAGTGCAATGACATCGTCATAGCTCACTGCATAACTCAAATTCCTGGGCTCAAGTGATCCTCCTGCCTCAGCCTCCTGAGTAACTGGGACTACAGACACATGCCATGACACCCAACTAATTTTTCTATTTTTAGTAGACTGGATCTCACTCTTGCTCAGGTTGGTCTTGAACTCCTGAGCTCAAGCAATCCTCCCACCTTGACCTCCCAGAGTGCTAGGATTACAGGTGTGAGTCTCTGTGCCTAGCCCAAAGGCCAGTCTTGAAGACTTTTGGAATGTGCAGGGTTTGGGCAACCCAAGGCTACTGAGTTAACAATTTTACTGTATATATATATGTGAATTTCACTTATTTGAACAATCTAATCATTTTCTTAATGTTTTGAATAACTTGTTTTTAGTATGTGAACATTTATTAAATACCTTCTGCATGCATACCTCTTATAACCTTTTCTCTATAAGATGGAAAACAACTTCAATTTTAATCTATAATATAAACTTAGAGAAAAAAATATTATTACTCCAATATAAAAGGATACATCAGAAACTAAAGATCCCTACTACTCTTGCAATAATGGTGATAAGAATACTCCATATGTTTTAACTATAATTCCATGCAAATACTTTATATATGTTATTAATTTTAGCCTTTAACAACTGTAGGAAGTAGGTAATGTTCTGTTACACAGGTGAGAGAATAAAGGTCCAGAGAGTTTCAAGAACTCCTTTAAGCTTCCCAACCAGGAAGGGGCAGAGCCCAACTTTACCATCTGATCCCAAAGGTCATGGTCTCAACATCATGCATGATAGTTTCCAATGATTTTGAGAAACAAAGTGTTTAAAAAGTACACTGAAACATTAAAAATTCGACAACATTTATTTGACTCTATCTCAAGATCCATTGGATGTTTAGACCCTGGGGCAGAGTGTGACTAGAATACATGTGTCCCTTCTATGAACAGAAGAGGTTACTTACTGCAAAGAAGATTCCAAGACTCCACAATGCCTCTCTCCATACAATGTGGTACAGAAAACACAAGTAAGGAAAACAGATGCAAAAGGGAAAAATCGTGTAGTTATTTTGAGTATATTTATTAAAAAGGGGAATACAAAATCCAAATGTCCCCAAAGGTTCCGAAATTGCTGTCACCACGAATTGTTTGTAATTGTGTCTTTCTCCCTCCCCTCTTGTTAGATCTCAGTCTGTGGTAGAAGCCGGGACCCTGAAACATGAGGAGAAGGGAGAGAATGACAACACTCAGCCACTCCTGGCTCTGGACTGAACTCCGAGTCACCCCAATGCTCCTGCACACTGGCCCTCAGTGGCATCAGCCACCCAGGAAGCACATGTGCAACTGACCCACACAGACACGTGTGTTCCGCTTGACACCAGGTCCTCCACACCCGACCCCAGCAATGACTGTCATCAGCCATCGGTCTGAGCAGCCAGAGTTGGACAAAGACTTGAGAGATACTTTCTTTTTGAGTGAGGGGACTGGAGGATGATGTAAGGCATTTATGTACAAAAGATTCTCCCTCCCTCCATATTTATGGTATTAAATGGACTGGAAAAAAATAAAAAAAAACTAAATTTGATGCACACACTGCATTAGGACAAGGATTTTTCTGAGGTCACACACAGGGACCCTCTTCAGTTTTTGAAAATTAAGTGCATTTCCAAGTAAATACATCAGAGTTAAACTGTGCAGACACAATTGTCAAGTTTAATGTAGTGCAAAGCCCTGAGACAATAGTATCTCCAGTAATATCCATTCTTATTGAATTATTTTCTTTGACCTCATCACCAGCATCAAATTGTTCAGCCTACGAGCATGTTCTCATAGGCCTGGCTATTTGCAGAATTTACTTATTTTGATATCCTGCAAAAAGCGATTTTGACATCACATCTTGTGTGAGGCCATAGGCTGACTATCATGACCTTGAAAGAAGACACATACAATTTGATATATGATTAGTTCATCTTAGCAACATGAGTTCCCACAGGCAGCCTGAGAACCCATTAGTACAGTGTGTGTCTGCAGAGCGGAGACATCTCATCAAAAACCCATGTCAGTGATTAATGAATCCATTCAAGTTGCCTCACTTGGGTCACTACAGCAAAGAAAAGTGCCACTGAACCACTTAACTCCCTCCCCCCCTACCCCCCCACCCTGAAAACATTAAAGGTATAGGGAAAGATCATGGCTGTTGGTGACACAGTAAACACTCAATCATGGGGGAAGACAGAAAAGGATGACTAGATATGCAAGTACTGAAATAAGAGAAGACTAGAAATACAGGATGAAATGCCAAAGATAATTTTATTTCTTTACCTAATCTCCTTAGAAATGGAGTCCCCAACTAGGAAATCAGATATAAAATAAGCAGGTATCACAGGATATGATTCCCTTACTTGTGCCATGTTTCCCAAGACCAGTGCATATTTTAAGATGTCTCTTATTTGCCCAGCCATGCGCATGACATGGGTATTTATTAGTATGACCAGTTGGTGCTCAATGTCAAATAAAAAATATTTTAGTTGATAATGGCCAATAAAATATGACTTTACATTTCCAGTATTTGGGAGGGTTAATTTGTTAGCTGAATTATTCAAAGGAAAGAGGTGATTCAACTGGCCATAATCACCCTGGATAGATATTATTACTAGTCCCAACCATTTATTATATCTCTTTCTCAATGGATCTAATGTTTTACTTTTTATTCCTACTGGTAGAGAATAATAACAGAAGTAATTTTTATATTATACCCTTGGAGAAATAAAATTTGAAATAGAATTAAAAATATTTCTCAAATAATTGCATCACAGTATAAATAAAACCAATTCATTCTGTGTAGACATTTCAAATCACAAAATAACAACACTGAAATAATTCTGCCAATGCAGTGACTGAAACACTTTTCTTATGGACCAAGACATAAGTAAGACAAATAAAGAATTAAAAGAGAACTAGAAAGTCCATTTTATTGCTTGGGTTTATAAAATAGTTGTGGGATCCAAGTATTTACAATGCTATTGGAGTCAATTATTACCAACACTTTGCAACAGTAATATTAACTTCTAGCTTTTCAATTGGCAATACTTAGAATCCTACTGTATGTAGTGGCCCGATTTTAAATACCATATTATATTCACTAAGAGCTAGTTTTTACTCTATTCCATAATTTCATTACATGAATGTAAGATGATGGTTCAACAATGACAACTTATAGTATGAATTTCTTTATGTATATGCAATATACATATAAGAACCAAATTCAGTAAATGATGCAAATGTTCCTACATGAGCATTGAGTTGTATTGCCCTTTGTCAGTCATTTCCTCTGTTCAATAAATACTGAAGGACATAATAACTTTTATTTTTCAAGAGTTTGCCTTCTCTTCTGAACTTCGGTAATTAACTTTGATATTTTTTCCTCCCATGCCTCTTCATCTGATTTTGTGGGATTTTTGAACACATAGCGAAATGGAAGGAACAGGACAAACATTTTGCAAATTCTTCTACTGAAAGCTAATGTCCTTAACGATAAGCCAAAAGGGCCAATTTCAACTTTGAAGAACAGTTTTTAAAATGAGGTGAAGAAAACCTCCTCCTTTGTTCTTAGATCGAAAAGAAAACATAAGTTTTCTCTACCTGTGAATGAAATGTGGTGACCTATGTGCTATTTCTGCAGCATTTTTGTTCATACTGGCTTAGAATTCAGTGCATGAATGTCATGACATTCTCACAGCTACCATTTTTAGTTAGCTTTGGTTTAAAAAATACAACATTTAATGCATTAATACTTACTAAATTAATGACTCGATCACCTTTGGAATGAGTAGGCAAGACCATTTTTCAACTGTTATTTCTATGTCATGGGTAATATTAACACTAAATATGGATAATAATTGTTATTTCAAAGTGATGTTTAAAAGGCAGAAGTGTCTTAAGCCAGAGAGATGGAAAAATCTTCCAAACTTTCTCGAGGAGAAAAGCAATCTCAACATCCCTACAAAGATCCTAGCATTCTTGATGAACTTCCATTCTGCTGTCCTTAATATTTCTACAATATTGTGACAATAAGGACCAGAGGGCTGTCTTCCTGTCACTCACATGGATCCCTCACAGGGAAGGGCACTTTGGATTCCCAGGCTCTGTCTCATAGATGGCAAAGTGGCCAGGAGTCAGACACCCTAGTAGCTACCAGTCCACCTAATCCTGAGAGAAAATTTTTACTTCCATAAATTTGACTTTTCCCCCTAAACCCTAATACTTCGCATTAGAAGCATTTACATGTGGCATTTTTATAACTTAATATAAAATGATTCTATGCCTTTTTTTAGTGTAAAAATTTCCTTTTAGAGACAAATAAGATTTTGACAATATCTCTACTATTAGCATAGTGAGAGGAGAAATTAAACATCTTGATCCCAATGAAGACAAAAAAGCAAACAGACTCAAGGGTAGGGATCAGGACAGTTCACAGACATTGGCATGATGATGTCTTCCTTTTTTGCATTAGGAAAATAAAATTGCTTTTTTCATGAGTGTCTTTTACTAATAAGAATTAAAAGTCTGAGTTCATCAGGAATATTACCATAAAACAGTAAGAGGTAAAGCATTTACAAAGCTTGTCATTAAAATCAATAAAAAAAGTAGTGGTACATGATGACAGACTAGTTTAGCTACCCTAGAAAAATATAACTGCATAGACAGTTACAAAAATTACAAACTAAAGCAATCCATTCACAGTTTCTACATATATTCTCATGGTACGCTGATTTAGACCTATTCTATGTCAAAAAATATCTTTGGCTGGCAAGGTAGAAGCTATCAAATGTTCACCTTCAATACAGGCATAAGACCAGTGCTGTCATGGGATGAAACACAGCAGGGTGTTTTCTAAATGAATGGCGGTAATGCAAATATTCCCTTTAGTGTCTTCTACTCCTAGGAGGAGGCTTAGAGTTTTTCAGGCTGCAAGTCAGACAAATGGAAAGCCTTGGTGTTTGAACTTCTATCCTCACGCCCAAGGAGATAGAGCCAGAAAGGCAGCCTCTCTCCAGTGTTCCAAGCTTGCATGAATTTCCTGCTAAATTGCAGGAAGACTGCGTCTCTGCTGGGGTGTCAGCTCTGGGTGCCACACGTCCACGATGAATATAAGCCGGAAAGATGAAGCGTCCTGCCACACCTCGTGCTCAAAGGAGTCGTCAAAGATGAGCACCTTGCCTTCCTCCCAGGTTCTGCAACAGAAAGACGTGGATTCCTGAGGACAGCTTTGAGTGATTCAGGGGCCCAAGGATCAACTCCTGTCCATGTGCAGGAAATACCTTTTATGATAACCTTTGAGATATTAACCAGATAACCAGGACACCAAGCCCAAATTTATTTTGCCCTTGATGATTAAGAAAGAATTTCAGGATTCTTATTATGAACATCAATTTTCATTGCTTAGCACTGAAGATGCACAGAGGGCAGGGGACTGGTGATGAGGATGTGCTGACTTAATACATGCCCTGCAATTATTCTCCATCCAACCCCAAGAGAGGCTTGTACTAGGAAATTCAAACGCACACCCTGGGGGCTCACACAGGCTGACTGCATGGTCAGTGACTCCATGGCTGCCCTCTCCAGCCCCTTATAGACTGCTTTAGACCTGTGGGTGGTGACTGGGTCTCACTTGTCAGGAACCCTGGTCCAGGGTATGCACATCTCCAAACATTGTCTTTTCAGCTCATTCCATTTGTTCAAGTCCTATTTTATGGAATAAAGGAGTCTTTACTTAAACCCAGTGACCAGAGAGTGAATAACTAAATTAGGTGTTTCTTAGCTAGTATTCTGGCTGAGGAAAATGGGCAGATTGGGAATGAATTTTGTTTATATTTTTAGTGTCATCTGCTATGCAAGTGGGTTATCCATGGAATATTTTAAGTCAATGCTGCAAAACACCCTTTAGAGCCTCCAGCACCCCCCCCATAAGAGATTTGTATAGAGACTAAGATCTAAATATAGTATTAGGCTAAACAAAACAATCAAGAGAGAAATATGCAGGAGGCAGTTACATGATACTTTTCAAATCCAAAAGAGGTTTATGAGCCATGCCAATGATTTCTTCTTTTTAAAAGATATTAATTGCCAATATATTAAATGTTGTTTTTAAACTAAAATTCTTACTAGGAAATTTTCTTTAGCTACTAAAATTCCACTTAATCATTTGAAATTTTATATCCTGGATTAGCAAATAATTACAATTATAGCAAGGGAAATGCTAGCTTGATTTCAAGTTACCATATTATCATAAAGATGCTTTCCTTGGGAAAATTCTTGGTGTCTTTTTATGTTCTGTAGTAGATGATTAATCAATGGCTAAGTTGAGTATGGCTTCTTAACCTTGGCACTACTGACATCGGGCCGGATCATTCTCCGAGGTGGGTCTGCTCTGTGCACTGTAAGATGCCTGGTGGCATCCCTGGGTACCACCCACCAGACAGCAGTAGCACCCTCCACATCAGCTGCGACAACCAGAAGTGTCTCTAGTCATTGCCAAATGTGGGGGATGGGGTGTGTGTGTGTATCAAATCATCCTAGTGGGAAATGCTGACATATTGAATAAATCTGACAATAAAATTTCCAAGTATTTAAACGAACTGATAAAGTAATGAATATTTGCAAGTTAAATGTTCACTAAAGTTGGAAACCCAACATCCACTCCTGCTACCCCCCTGGCCCCCACCTTGTGTGCTGTTCTCAGACACCTAGCCTAATGTCTTGCATTCAACAAACATGTACTGCTAGGCTCTTTGATACAATTCCACTGAGGGTTTAAAGAGTTCCATTGGAGTTCCACCCAAGGAGAGCAAAGGACTGAAATATATGGACTTACCAGCAACTGACAAAATATGCATTTGTTACCATGCAAAACCCAACTTGAAAAGAAAGGCAAAGCCAAGAAAAGAAAAAAATAAAACCCTGATAAGAAAAAGGACTGAAGTGATCCACAGTCTATACAGTTAGGCTGTAATTTTCTAGACCTTAGTGTTGTCAGTGAGATTGAGCGATGCCCGTCAACAGGTGCAAGCCTACAATACAGGCAGAAGGAGCAGGAGGGCGAGTGCATTTCAAAGGCAGGGCAGGACACCCATGTGCGCGGCAGCACTATTCACAGCAGCCAAAAGGGGAAGCAACCCAGTGTACCACAACAGATGCACGAATGAACAAAACATGGCATATACACACAATGGAATATTATTCAGTCTTAAAAAGGAAGGAAATTCAGACACATGCTACAACCTGGATGAACCCTGAGGACATTAGGCCCAGTGAAAAAGCAAGACAAAAAGACAAATACTATATGATTTCACTCACATCAAGTCCCTAGAGTAGTCAGCTTCATAGAGACAGAAAGGAGAAGGGTGGTTACCAGGGGCTGGGGGAGGCAGGATATGGGGAGTTACTGTTTAATGGGTACAGAGTTTCAATTTTACCAGATGAGAGTTCTGAAGATGGATGATGGTGACAGTTGTACAATATGAATGTATTTAATGCCACTGAATGGTACACTAAAAAATACATGAGATGGGACATTTTATGTTATATGTATCTTACCACAATTAAATAACAGGAAAAAAGGGCAAGGCAGGGGAGAGCATGTGGTAGAGGAGACAGAGGGAGAGAAGCAATCTGGCTCAATGGAAAAGTCACGGTCATTGAAAGGAGGCCTCTTGTCCCTGGTGTTTAATACTTGTGGGTGAGTTGCTTAGTAAACTTTCCGTCTTCATCGGCATAGCCGATGTGAGGATTAGTGTATGGTTGGCACACAGTGGATATTCAATTAATAATAGAGACTATAAAACAGAATGAAGGAAAATATAGGAAAAACAGGGAAAAGATAAAGACAGTTGAAATTTTGGAAAGTGGTATGTTACCAAAAATCACCTAGGCATCATTCCTTATGAAATCTGCCTTCATTTGAGAAAATTGAAAACTTCCAAGGAGGGATGGGATATCAAAAACCTTGAGAGAACCTGTGAAATACACTTTGTACAGTAATGACAAGTGATTCTCAAAGTTTCTTGGGTGTTAGGTAATCTAGAAGTTACTTAAAATACTGGAAGTAATTAAAATAACTAAACAGCAAATTCTAGGCTGCACAAATGACATTTTTTACTAGATTCTGACAGGTATAACAAAGCCAAATATATTTAGGAACTTTGTATGGGAGAAAAGCCTCAAGCATTCATTCATTAATTTAAATTCCCTGTGAACTGGGAAAAGTTATTAGCATTGGAGCACACTAGTCACTCAGGAACACGGGTGTATATAAGAGTAGAATTTAAGAACCACAGGCTTGTGGCTGTTTAGATATATTAAGTCAAATATGAATTAGTGTAAACCATTACTTAACCAGTTTCTTAAACAGTAAATCTGGGAGGTATCCCAAAGGATTGCTAAGTGGCTTTTTTGTTTTTATTTTTAGGATGATAAAACTCTACGGGCAAGTATAGCCTGTTAGACTTCTTATTTGCCCTTCCATCTTCTGTCATACATTTTCTCAGAAAATAGCAAAGCACTCAATTAATTAATGTAGGTTCTTTAATGTAGATTCTTCCTAATACTTAAAAAAATGGTGCCTTTCAATTAGTTATCAGAAATAGAATGACGAAAAGTACATTCACCCTTAATCTCAAAGAGGAACAGGGAAGAACAATAAAACCTCATCTAAGCCACGTCCAGACTGAAGTGACTCGGGGTTTAGCCAGAGATCTCTCTCCTGCCTGGGAAAGGATGAGTTTTATGCTACAAAAAGAGACAGAGCATAAAGGTGTCAAAGGTCTTTAGATCTCTTCTGAATGAAAACCAAAGACTCTCATTAGAATGCAAAGAAAGCATTTTTAGGCCACTTGCTTTGTGAGCAAAGCTCCATCAGATACGATTAAGTTACACTCAAATTATGACATGGAAACAGTCCTCTGGAGAAAACATCGTCAGAGTGGCCTTTGAGAGGTGTCCACCCAGAGGTGCTGCCACAGACCTTCTCCCAGGACCCAGAAGAGTAGGATCGGGGTGGGGGGGCGATGGGGGCTGCTGTCTGTCCCCAACAGGTACTTGGGCTTCCTGTTAGAATTTATCATGACTAAGAGATGAAAACCTCTCCTTGGTTTGCCAAAAGCTACAAGGATATCTGGTCACAAGATAAAGCAATATTATGTAATCTCTCAATTTCTCCAATTCTTATAATTATAATTAATGATAATGATATAATGGCGGCAGCATAAAATTAATAAACTATAATTCTGCCATAGAATTACCATCAATATTAATAAGGCTAAGAAATGATACTAGGTGCATACATAGTCTTCCACCTAAACATTTTACAGCTGGAAGTTCCTATTTCACCCTCTTTCCTAAGTCCTTAAAGCCCCACCCTCTAGGTTGCAAGAACTACCTCCAAAGCTGAAAGAGTGCTTGGTCTCACTTCCTGGAACGTAAAGGACAGAAGTCCCATTTCTGCAGCAGTCAGACAAAGGGATAATAAAAGCTCAAATATACTGAGTGCATTTTCCATAGAGCACTTTGTAAATACAGCTCTGAGTGAATTCATATAGATTACTTTAATACTCAAAACTTCACAAAGACATACTTTCATCCTTAGCATTTTACAGATGAGGGAACAGAGGCTTAGCCAGGTTATGCAAACTGTCTAAAGTTACTTAGTAGGTCTTAAAGTACTTGGTAAGAGGGAAAACAAGGATTTGAACCCAGGTCATTTGACTTCAGCACTGTTATTCTGCTTTTATGAAGACACAGAATGCTAAAATCTGAAGTAAAAACTCAAGATGCATTTTTTCCATAGAAACATTATTATATAATAAATAGTAACTGATTCTAGAGCCCTGTTAATAGAGATCATTACTTAAAAAGCTTTTCTGCAGGGTGCCCTGGGAGCCTCCACATCATTGACTATTACCATAGAAAAATGGATCCCAACTTCCAAACAATCAATTCAAACGCTTGGAACACAATCTATTTTCAGTGTGGGAGCTGCTATTCCCTGTGAAGGTGTAGAAATGTATGTGTGCACATTCTAAGCATCTGTGTATGGGAAGAGCTATAAACACAACCCATGTCAGACAGGACAGGGGTCAAGATACTTCACTAATGTGTTTGATTCACCAAGTTGCTAAAATAAAAAAAGAGGACAAAATGTTACTGTTCAATAACAAACAAACCTTCAGGAAACACCCTGTCTAGTTAAAAATGCCCTTTTTGTTCTCCAGTCCCAGATGAGCAGGCCTCAGTGGAGACCTGTGGATAAGGTCACATCATGACACAGGTGGGAGGTGGGTTAATTTTGTGGAACAGAAGATCCATGGTTGCAGGAAAAAAAAAAGCCAGAAAAGAAAAAGTAAAAATAGAAGAAGGGGTAAGATATTTGGTTCTAAATGAATCAGTAATTCACAGCTTCCATAATGTGATTCAAAAATGTTAAGACTTACTTTATCTTCTTGGACACCTTAGGAAAACAAAACAAAACAAATATTGTCTATGAACAACTCATGGTCGATTAAAAAATGAAGTCTCCCTCTCTCACTGTTAATATTTTAGCATGACTTTCACAGAGTCTTCCTAATTGGAACCTTGAGAGATTAATGAAAATATATGTTATAAAATACTTGAGGTATGTGGAGAAAGGCCATTATTTCTATAGCAATATAGAGAGGGATTAAATGACTGATTGCCAATTCATTTCTTCAGTCTGCTGCTAAGGGACACTAATGCCGATGTGTGCTTTTCCTGACGACCTATCAGTCTTGCTCAACATTTCAGGCTGGGGATTTGCAGACAATCACTTCGAGTCTGCAGGAGAGCTTCAAGGTCGCTGCTCATTCTCTTAGCACAGTACCGGCATATTTTGGAAGGCCCTCTTGAAAAGATTCAGAAGAATGGTTTTCTCTCTGGAATCATCCAAACATCACACAACTCAGCCACTCCATGATGATAACAACTCGTTCCCACATGCCGGGGGCGTGTTTACCCACTGATACAGGTTTCTTCAGCACTGGATCAAAACTGCTAATGAGCTCATGGTACAAACCACAAAGCACGGCCTGCCTGGGGTGATACAAACAAAAGGCCCAGAAATGGAGACTCCTCAGCTGCCTTCTCTACCTGCTACCAAGTTGTCTGGAAACGAAAATCAGCATTGAAAGTGATTACCTTGAAGAGTATAGCATGATCCGAGTTTTGTAAACAACAAAATCCAAAAAGCCCTAGCAAGGCTAGGAGTACAGGCTTTCAAGCCAGAATGCCTAGCACCGAACACTAGTTCGGTCTTCCCCCAAAAAGATACATCTACCAGGAACCTGTGAATGGAACCCGACTTGGAGAAAGGATCTTTGCAGATGTAATTAAGTTAAGGATCTTGAGATGAGGTTGTGCTGGATTAGGATAAGCCCCAAATGCAATGATATATGTCCTTATAAAAGAGAGAAGACAACACAGGAAGAAGTGACGTGAACACAGAGGCAAAGGTTGGAGGGAAGTGTCTACGAACCAAGGAACACCGAGGACTGCCAACAGTCTCAAGAAGCTGGCCCAGAGGGACAGGTTGTCCCTCACAGCCTCCAGAACAAACCAGCCTGCCAACACCTCCCACCCGAACGTGAGAGAATAACTCTCTGTTGTTTTAAGTCACTCAGTTTGTGGCGATTTGTTGCACCAGCCCCAGGACACTAATGCAAGTTGCTTATTGCTTATCATCATCACGCCTCAGTCTCCTCAGGTGTAAAATGGGGATTTTAATAATCCTCATTACATAGGGTTGTTGTGAGGATTAATGAGTTAATGTATGTAGAGAACTGTGTTTGGCACACTGTATTTTTGGAATAATATATATTATTACTATCATTACCATCATCATGAATATACCTATAAAGGCATTGAGAAGCATCTGGGCAATATCTCTGGGTATTGGGATAAAAAATAACACTTTTTAACTGTGCTTCTCTGTTTTATACAAGTTACGTGCAAGGGGCATATATGAGTTTTGTGACTGGAGGGCATTTATTAATTTGAGATGATCATTTATTTGTAGTGACACAGGCTGCGTACCTGGCAGCTCATCACCGCCAGGGCACCATGCCATGCTTTGCAGTGACGGAGTATTTAACCAGCACCCAGACTGGCAGGAATCTCGCAGCTCTGGGGAAATAGCAATCTGAGTATTAATACCTGAGAACTGCAATGCATAAATGCTACAGGTAACCTACTCTTTTGGAAGTTGAGACGCTCTGAAAAATTGCTTCCAGTGGCTGAGCACAAGGAAACCTGATTTCTTGGTATGCGTGTTTCTCCTCCCATGCTAATAGTACTTGCACAACCACAGCGTGGAACTTCCAGATTTCACATCACACTCTTTCTGTGCTCAGAGTTTCCAAGCTGTCTCCTATTCAGATACCTAGCTATTTTCCCTATAAGCATTATACAGCACTTTATTTTCACTGACCCACATCTCTGTTTTTCTAATGAAGTGCTAAGCCTGACTTGACCACCCTTGAGTCAAGCATTATCAAGGATGAGAATGTAACGTGACATAAAGCGAGGACAGTCAGAGGGACGCATAGCCGGACTGCTGATGGCATTCACAGTGATGAAGGGCCCTGGCGCTCCCTGGCTTTTCAGGGAGGAGAGGACAGAAAGCATTTCAGTCTCCCGGCCCAGTAACAGGCAGGTGGGTGGTAAGCACTTTTTAATAATCACTGTGAATTTGCAAAATACACCGTCTGCAAATTAGTGTTATCAGCAGCTCCTTACTGTTACGCGAAGTACATTGTATTTTAGCTCAGCAGAAACTCAGGGGCTGCCAAGTTAATGTTCTTATTTAAGATCCCCCTCAGAGCAAGCTGCACAATGGGGCTTTTAGCCCTTCCCTGCCATGGGTAGGTGAAGATGGTTAACCTAATCGTCTTTTAAACTTCAGGGGAGGGGCTGGCAGTTGTTTCTTGGTCAGGCATGGTCACAAGGCGCCTGCTGGGAGTCTGGGGTGAAAAATGCACCTACAGATGTGCCCCTGAAGCAGGTCTTCCAGTGTCACTCCTGCATTTTATTTTCTTTGTTTTTTTAGAGATGGGCTCTTGCTATGTTTGTCGCCCAGGCTGGAGTGTAGCAGCTATTCACAGGCACCATCATGGCACACTACAGCCTCGAACTTCTGGGCTCATGGAATCCTCCCACTTCAGCCTCCAGAGTAGCTGAGACTACAGGTCTGTGCCACCATGCCCGGCACGCATTTTGAATGCCCCCTGACTTCTCCTTAAGCCCTCGGCACCATCGGCTCGCTCCCCTTCCTGACAGCCACACCTGTTCTTCCAACCTGGACTTTCTCTTTCTGACTCAGGTCACTGAAGAGTAGGATTAGTTCCATACCTTTCCCTCTCCCGCCTGTGTCCAAGTGGATTTTTATCTAGTGATTTTGCTCCAAGTATCTACAAGCAGAATCGAGGACAGGAGAAAGAGAAAGGAAGGCAGGAGGAGGGGTGAGAGGGGGAGTGAGCGAGGGGAAGCAGCAGCCAGTCCTAAAACCCCGAGCAGCACTCAGGAAGGAGGCCTGCTGCTCTCCTGCACCTTCCCTGCCTCATGTCCTCATTTCATCCCCGAGGACCTGGCCTTGTCCCTGTCTCCTCCTACATTCTCCCATGCCCGCTCTGAACTCCCTGGGCCCCCCGCCACGTCCCTGCCCCTCTTCCCTTTGGTCTCTGCAGACCCAAACTGACTCCCCAATGGTTTGACAAGATTCCCTCCATCTAGGGATAAAGTTCCACCTGTCTAGCCATCCCTGACACCTCCTCCTGGTCTGCTCAGCTGTGTCATTCCCTGTCCCCTCTCTTCCTTGGTTCTCCTTTCTCTTTCGCCTTCTAAATGGAGATTTCCAAGGCCTCTCTTCATTTGTCAGTTGTCTCCCAAGCTTCCTCTAGAACCTCTTGCTAAGACTGACTCGCAAATCTTTATCTCTAGACTTTACTCCTCCCCCCACCCCTGCCAGACCTTTATTTCTAGCCACCTCCTGGATATTTCTATGACTGCGTCCAATAGCAATTAAATATTTACAAGCACTGAATTCACTCTCCTTTCCTTGAACTTGCCTCAAGCCTCCCCAATTCCCGACATTTGCTAAAACATCACCATCCTCCTAATGACCAAAGACTGAAATTGCAGCATCACCTTGGACTCCTGTCCCTTGCACCATACACTCAAGGTTCACCTGGGTCATCTTCACAGTTCCTCTTGCACCTGCCCTTTACTCTCCATTTCTTTCCAGCATCCCAGTTCTGGCCCTTCTTATGTTTTTGGTGGGCTGCTGTCAGCTCATTTTCTTCATAGCATTCACCCATGGCTTCCACAATAACTTCCTAACAGAGGTCTGATCCCACTAGTTTGGTGTTCAAAGCCTTCCATGATTTAGCTTCCAAAATACTTTCGCTTTCCCACCTTGTTCTTTATGTACCTTACACTGTTGTTGCTGAATCATTCCACAGTCCTCCTATGTGGCCTGTAATTTTCGGCCTCTGTGCCTTTAAGAGATGCTGTTCCAGAATGTGCTTCTCCAGCTTTCAACGTCCCAATCCTTCTTGTCTTTAAAAACTGCCACTGTCAAGATTCCCAAACCTCAACTGCAAGCAAGGTCCCTCCTCACCAACCCATCTGTAGCATTTTTACCTGCGCCTCTCTGATGACTCACGTGGCATCTTGTATTGTCTTTCTGACTAGTCATGCCTGGCAGAGCAAGGCCACATCTGATCCGTCTCTGAATTTCCCACAGCACCACTGCTGCGCTGTGACCAGGGCAGGTGTCTGCAAGACCCAGATGAACTACTCTATAGACCCTTGAACACTCAGCCTCCACTCAGACCCCTGCTAAGGACAGTGAGAAATGTGTACGAAGGTAACACATTGGTTTCCGATCTCTAGGAGCTTACATATAGCTCATTGTGGAGCTAAGGCTAACATATATTACTGAATAAAAGGCAATGGGAGATAGGAACGGGATTATTGAGGATATACATTATACACATTCTAAGAAGTCAGAAGAGAAGTTCCATGTTTATGAAACAAAGTTGGATCTTAGTAATAGGTTTATCTGGGATAGGTGGAAAGACAGGTGTTCCAGGGGAAGGGAGTATCAGTATTACAGGTGCAGAAGCCAGAGCACGTGTAGCTTTTTCACAAGGTCATGAATAAACCTGTTGTAGGTAGGAAAGGGAAAGGCAGGGGCAGGAGAGGGAGATCTCACATTCACCACTTCCTGCTGATGCTAGAACATGGACTAAGTGGCCTGGAGGCATTATTCCATTTAATCCATACAACCACCTTGCAAAGCAGATATTAGCACTGCCAGTTTCCTAAGCAAGGAGGTTCAGGCTCAAAGGGATTATTAAGTAACCGGCTAAAGTTACACAGGATTAGGCGGCAGAGCTGGGATTTGAAAAACGCAGCTGGCTTCCAGCTTCCGTTGCACCATGCTGTCTCCCCTAGAGCAAAACATCAATATCATGGGGTGTTTTTTCAGGAAGAGGGACTTCTTGTATTTATAAATAATGCAAATTGTAAAGCAATAAGCACGATGCCTAACGTGTGGGCTCAATACATGTTGGCTGACTCTGAATGCAAATCTGTCTACCTACAGAGAGAAGCAAGAAGGCTCCTCAACCAGATGAGTGGAGAGGAGGGCGGCTCTAGGACTGGGCAGTCTCTCCAGACAAAGCACAAAGAAGGGATACAGACTAAATAAAGAGTGAGGATTAATATCACCCTGCTCTAGTCCACTTCAGCTACAGAGGAGGAGAAATAATCCAACTGAACATAGCTTCGTTGTAACGAACACCCATCCTCAGAGGTGACGGACAAGAGAGGATGGAGGAAACATACTTGGTCTCGTTGGCGCATCGGATCTTGCAGCCTTCCTTGGGAATCACCAAGCCCAGGTGCATTCGGAGTCTGCAGTTTGTGGGCCCCGTGTGAGGCCACACATGAGTTCCAGGGTGCATGATGGAATATTTGATCTGTGTAGAAAACACAACACTCTGTTCAGCTATTTATCCAAATGTGGAGGAACTGCTAAATTAAAGTGACAGTACAAAATTACTGTCAATTTGGATTAGAGCCTTTGTAAGACTCCAAATTGATATTCACACTTTATTTCTTTGTGAAAAAACTAAAAATAAACACTCAACATTTTCTGCAAAGTGATAAACACTGAACATTTTCCACTCTCAATTCTGACGTCAACTACATAAAATTATGGCTTATTAAAAAGGGAGTGAAAAAAGAAGCGTTCATCCACCCAAATGAAATAAGCATTTCTTTGAAAAGGTCAGCACGTCCTTATTCCTAATGAGTCATCGTGTTCTCCCCAGCACTGGGACACTTGGTACCTGTCCTCTTCTGCATCCTGTTGTCTCGGGGAATTTTTCCAGTAGAGCACAGGTTTTAGGAGCTCCTTTACAAGCATTTTCATTTTTCCTTCCTAGAATAATAATGATAAAATAATTGTTAGAAACAAATTGCAGTAAAGCTTTAACTCACCCCTTTTGGACCATATGCGATCTACGTGGTCATCCTCAGGGTAGGAATGAGAAGGTTGAGTGAACACAAGACCAAGTGTCTTGTTCCCATAGGTGGTGATGGGCAGAGCAAGGATCCCAGTTCTCCACTCAGTGCTGCTCTATTTGACTAAGGATGTCTAAAGGACAAGGCACATGTTAAATACAGCTGACCTTTGAACAATGTGGCGGTTAGGGTTGCCCACGCTTGCGCAGTTGAAAATTGGTGTATAACTTTTGACTCTGCCTAGCCTACTCTTGACCGGAAGCCTTACTGATAATATAAACAATTAACATATATTTTGTATGTTATATGTCTTATCTACTGTATTTTTACAATAAAATAGGCTACAAAAAATGAAAATGTCACCAAGAAAATCTTGAAGAGAAAATACATTTACCGTGCTGCACAGTGTTTATTGATACTGTAAGTTTATGTCACCTGTTTACAAGATGGGCCACCTGTCTGAAATGTGGGCAACTGCAGCTGCAGACCTCTACCAATGGTACACATTCAGCAAGTCACCTTCTTCCTGTAATGTCATGACTTTTCTTGTGGGCACTTCCAACATTACTAGTGGCACTTTATATGGGTCCCACTGTGTTACTAAAAATTTATGATACTCTACTAAACACAAAGAAAAACATGCAAGAACCACTAGAGATCACTTTTTACTGCGATATGCAATTTGCAGAAGAGATGAACTGCTCACGTAGAGATGATTAGCGTCTCAGGGAGTTTTAAGTGGATATGGGTAACATTTGAGCTCATTGCAATAGCATCAGGAGGTGGCTATGAAATTATTACAGAGTGCAGTATGTGCTACTTTTAATTTTATGCAGTTACAGTTTAATGCTGCATCTTTGTCCTTGTTTACATTTCTTTTGACTGCAAATGGCACCATGTATAGTCTGTGTTTGTGTAAGTTTTCATAAATTTTAACTTTTTATAATAGATTTGTATATATTTTATGGTAGTAAATAATAAAATAGACTAGTATCTATATATATTTTTTGCATTCATATCTTTTTCTTAATTTTTTGGTATTCTAGGCTACAAGGTTCATCTGTAAGTTTTTTCCAATTGTTACAAATCTCCAAAAAATTTTCCTATATATTTATTGAAATGTGCATATAAGTGGACCCATACAGTTCAAATCTTTATGGTTCAAGGGTCAATTGTATTAATTTTTCCCCCTGTGGCAGGCAGAATAATGGCCCCCTCCCAAAGATGTTCACACCCGAATCCCAGGAAACTGTCAATATGTTACCTCTCATGTAAGGGGGGAATTATGGTTGTGGATAGCACTGAGATTTCTAATCAGCTGACCTTAAAATAAGGAGATTATCCAGGATTAATTGGGTGGGCGATGTAATCACAGCATCTTTAAATGTGGGAGAGGGAGGCAGAGGAGTTAGTGTCTGAGTGATGCAGAATGAGAAAGACCCGATGGGTCATTGCTGGCTTTGGAGATGGAAGGGGCCACAAGCCAAGGAATGTGGGCAGCCTCTGGAAGCTGGGCCTGCAGAAGAAACGTAGCCCTGAAGATACTTTTATCTTTAGATAAAAGTGAGACCCCTTGTAGACATCTGACCTCCAGAACTGTAAGATAATAAATATGCTTGTTTGTTAAGTTACTAAGTTGTGGCACAGCAGCCATAGCAACTAACATATCCCAAGGAAGGAAAATAGCTTATATTTCTAACCTAAAATGCATTTCTAGGACTACATTAAAGAGTTACCAAAATATTATTTTTAATTGGAATGTAATTTCTTTTTTCAATGTCCAGGTCATCCTTTATAAATTTATAAAGAACAAGATTTAAAATAAAGAGGGGGAGGAGCTCTTTGAGAGATGATGCTTTCTGTGCGTGACTGTATCAGGGACACAGATTCTGGGACGTGCCTTCAGCATCGTGGACTGTGCAGATCTCTTCACACTCTCTACGGCCCCTGTTTATTAGGAAGGATGTGCTCAGAATGGATACGGCATCATTTGCTCTCATGCGGGAGTAAAACAATAGACTTTTTAAAAGGCAGAAACATTTTATTTCCTTATTCAAGATTCCTACCAGGGACTGCTCCATCTAAAGCTGAATTTAATTTTCTTTAATTAATGTTAGTCATGTCCTAAGATAATCATACACTGCGCATAAAATGAGTTACAAAAAAATGCAACTTAAAAGGAAAATATGCCCCAATCACATGGAGCTTGATATTTGAGAAAACAGCTTTTTCCAAGTAATCTTTTCACCTCTTAATTGAGTAAAATGTTAGTTGCTAATTTTCGTTATTAATGGAGCACCCCAAAGAATCGAACGATAAATGTCAGTTTGGGTGAATGTTACACAAACATACACATGAGCCATCATAAAGCATTTTTAAATGCTGGCTTCCACGTTTTCCCATAGGCAGGGTCTGGGGACGGGGACGGGGGGACTGCTTGGCAGGAGTCCCTGATTCTGGGTTCTGTGCTGTTCAGGCAGCAGTTAAGTGAAGCCTAGTGGCTTGAGGACTTGCCCACAGTGGTGAGGGCTGAGCATGTGCCACTTGGAGAAAAGGTGCGCCTTACCTGAGTGATAGGTAATGCATGGGTAACTGAACAGACTGCATCGCTAAGATTTTCGCTTGGTCAGGACTAAATGACAGAGCACTGCTAGTCCTTCAGACACACATATTTTTTTCTAGTCTATAAACACAGATTCTCCGTAGGGGAAAAGCTGGCATGCAACATCACCTCCATTTTACAGGAGCAAATGAGGTTCAGGATGCTTCTATCTCAGACACTGATAACACATGGTAGACTTTTCAGTCATGCCTACACAGCAGGGTTACTATAACATATCACTTAACAGGAAAGACCAAGAAAATCAAAATGTTATTTATAAATATTTATCCCAATACACATGTGAATATACATACACATCTATAAGTGCACAGATACACAAATAAGAACTCAGACGTAGTTTATAAAAACAATGACTAGATTTCAAACATCTGTTTTCTGGGCCATCTCCTTTAAGTTTGGGAATCCCAGGAAGTATCACAAGATACTATCAGATCACTGGCCACAGAGAACCATCTAGAAGTTGAGAGCTCACCTTGCTGCCACAGTGTAAACTGGCTCCAGTCTCCCTTCTCTCTCAGGTTTTCATCCTCAGGCAGGAAGAGGCCTTTGGCTTTATCCATCACTTCAAGGCCTTCATCTCGGATTAACTTCCAGTGCCGTTCTAAGGACTAGAGGGAAGATCTGGCTTTACTAGACTGAAAATCTGCCTGGTAGAACACCTTATGATGACTGTCATATTTTTATTTTGGGTTTGTTTAATAAAATAATGAAATTTTGCTCTTATCTAGATTGCTTATATTTCAATTTTCTCTAGGACTTCTTGTCACGGGTATATATAAAAAACTCATTATTTTTCAGAACCATATGTTTTACAGCATAAAAATTTCAATAATTCCTAGAACCCTCAGGGAAGAACCCCTCCACAATTTGTTTTATGTTTTATTCAAAGACTTTTGTTTTTAAAACTACAACCTGACAAGAGTATTGATCTTGTTCATCATACTATATCGGTCCTCTACAATAAGCTCCGTGTGACACTCCAGCATCCAAGCTGGAATACAGAGCACAGATTTCATCTCACCTTTCAATAGAATTCCTTACAAAGATGCCATTCAACACGGTAAATATTAATTAAACTTTCAAAGACATCAGAAAAGCGTCCATGGGAACATTTGATAAGTTATAAAATTAGCAGCAAAACAAAAGAAACAAATGGACTAGTAGTTAGAATTCAGCCACATAAAAATAGTTCTTTGACTTCTCATATATGAGGGAGTCTTAGCCCGTGGCAGAAAGCGGGCTAGTGACTGGCAGGGCCAGGAGTGCTGGGGGCGGGGCGGTGACTGCAGACCCTGTGGGAGGACCCTCTGGGCAATCTTCACCTTGGCACTGTGCTGGGATTAGGGGTGGGAGGGCAGGTGGGAGGGAGCAGGCAAGGCTGAGTGTCTGAGGAGCAAACCCAGATGAATGGCCACCCAGAGAAAAGAATAAAAAACTGCTTTTCTACCATAGGAAAGAGATAAAGTTTTATAAAGTAGGATTTTGAAATGTTAACAATTTTAATCATTTCTATGTTACATGAGAAGTGGATGAAATAGTTGAGTGTATATATGGATTCATGGGTAGGGAGGAACATACTACCAAATTTCAACAAGAATCAGGGGCCAGATATGCAGGTTAAGCATTTCAATCTAAAAATTCAAAATTTGAAATGTTCCAAAATTCGAAATCTTTTGAGTACCAACATGATGCTCAAAGAAAATTCTGATTGCAGCATTTTTGATTTGGGATTTTCAGATTAGTGATGTTCCACCAGTAATTATAAGGTAAACATTCCAAAATCTGAAAAAAAATTGAATTCTTCCCAAGGATTTTAAGTGACTCAAGAGCATGGGACTAGAACTAATAAGTTACAAACCAAGAAAAAGATGTTGATGCAAAAATTGAAAACAACGGTTAGCACTCTCCAAAAATAGATTGGGTTGCCTTGTAAAACATGGTTCTCTATCTTGAATTAGTCAAGCCAAATGACCAATGTGGGCAGAGCAAAGCATGAGACGATGTGTAGGGTGCTTTTAGCAAGCCATGCTTTGTGAATTCATGAGTCAATGCAGGAACAGGAAGAAGTCGTGATGGCTGCACAGAGGGCTCTGATAAAGACAGACACTCTGAGATTTGTGCGGAACATGGTGCCACACCCAGCCACCCTGGGGAACACTTTTGATATCATGTGAAAACATTAGGGCTATTAAAATATGCTAGGGCAAGAGAGAGAGATTTTGATTAGATATTAATTTTATAATTTTATTTCTGTGACATCCACCCATTAATGTGTGTCAACGTCTACACCCGCTCCTAGTTTGGGGTGGTGCTGATCAGTTATCCACGTTGAGTGCTCAGTTTGCCAACTAGCTTCCATTTTCATCCCAAGTAGGAAGCTAGTAAGTGGCAAGTCAAAGAATGCATTTCAATAAAGAGATACGCAAAAGCCCTCATATTGACAGACCCCGGATTGAGAGAATACAATGGTTTTGCCAAAAATCCCAAGAACACGGAAAGGAAAAAAATGCACCTCAAGGTTTTGCAGTATGTTCGCATCTTTTCAAATGCACCTAAATTGCCAACATTCACTGTGGTTATTGTGACTTGTTCCCGTTGCTAGATTCTTGTTAAACTGTCACATAGAAGAGGAGAGAATTATCTAACACATGAAATTACTTTTCAAATGAGGTTATTGGCGCCTTATAAGGGCAAGCTCTTCCTCTCTTGCCTCCTGGTATTTTAGAAATTTCTTTTATTTTTTTTGAAAGCTGATTTAGGGGCATGGTTAGAAACAGCTGATCTTTTGTTACTAAAATAGGGCACAAAGCCCTGGGGGAAAAATGTTAAAGTGATTGCATCATTCAATACAATTTAATTTTTTTTTTTTACTTAAGAATAGGCTGTCTTTTTTCATATGTGAAATGTTGTCATTCCTGCCCCTTCACCCTCAGCCTCCCCTGGGAAGGGTGCCAAGGTACTTTTCTATGAGCAGCAATGAATTTTCTTAAAAAACTTTTTAAATTTTCCCTCGTTATATGTGGCACACAAGAGTTGGATGACAGACTCATGCTCAACAGGAGCAAATTGGTGCAGAAGGGTCTCCAAACACCTGTGCTAAAATGACACCAGACGTGCTCAATACTAACAAAGCACTGAAATACATTTTAGTTTATTTTCATTAAAAACATCGTTGTTGTTTTTTTTTTTTTTTGAGACAGAGTCTCGCTTTGTTGCCCAGGCTAGAGTGAGTGCCGTGGCGTCAGCCTAGCTCACAGCAACCTCAAACTCCTGGGCTCGAGTGATCCTTCTGCCTCAGCCTCCCGGGTAGCTGGGACTACAGGCATGCGCCACCATGCCAAGCTAATTTTTTATATATATATCAGTTGGCCAATTAATTTCTTTCTATTTATAGTAGAGACGGGGTCTCGCTCTTGCTCAGGCTGGTTTTGAACTCCTGACCTTGAGCAATCCGCCCGCCTCGGCCTCCCAAGAGCTAGGATTACAAGCGTGAGCCACAGCGCCCGGCCCAGTTGTTATTTTTTGAGTTCAATACTTTGTCACAGAATTTCACAACTGGAAGAAGCCATACTGTTAACCTAGATGAAATTTTTTCACTTTAGGGAAAAGAAAATGACTCTTGGAGTGGTTAATGAACCAGGCAGCCCCCAGTGCGGCAGGCAGCACGGCTGGTGCCAGGAGTCGGCTCTGCTCGCTCGTTCACTCCCGAGGCCCCTGTGGGAGGAGAGGCACACGGGCTTCGGGCTGTGGTGGACTGGAGGCCCTGCTCCTCTCTGGAGCACGAGAGCAACTGTGGGGCCCCACAGCCATCCACACACGATGATTTACTGGGCACCCATCAGTGTGGGTACTGGTCAGGATGGAGCACTAGGAAGGCACACGGACAGCAACGAGCTTCCCACTGAGCACTGTGCAGAGGGCAAGCCTCCAAGGCAGTCTACATCCTTGACAAGTAGAAGAACCTGGGCAAACCAAAAGATCCCACCAGTTAAATCTGGTGACGTAAAGGAAAAACACAAAGACAACAACCATCATAATCTCCTATGTGTTTGATGTAAACATTTCTTTGACCAAAGTAACAACTGTGCTTGGGAGTGTTTTTCAACACTGGAAAGATATGACGGGGGCTTCTATGGAGAGAGAAATCTGGAAGGGACCAGAGGATGCTGTTTTAAAGCACAAACCAAGGAATCGCATTACATAAAATTCACATTACAGGAAATTAAAGACCTAACTTAATTACACAGAGAGTGAGTGTGTGTCCTGCCTCCTGGTTCACAAACAGCTGCCTTCTCACTGTCCTCCCAGGGCAGACGGAGCGAGAGAGCTCTCTGGGGTCTCTTTAGGAAGGGCACTAATCCCATTTAAGAGAGCTTTGCCCTCTTGACCTAATCACCTCCCAAAGACCTTACTTCTTAATACCATCACCTCGGGGGTTGGTTTCACCATAGGAATTTGGGGGAGGGGGGTCACAGACATTCACACCATAGCAGTGTGTGTGTGTGTGTGTGTGTGTGTGTGTGTGTGCACGCATGTGTTTATGAGAGAGAATATAAATTTTCTCTACATTAATTTCACTCAGTTGTCTGTGATAGCAAAATATTTCGCTTTTAAGGAAATTCCAACAGAAACCCGAAGCCTCGCAAAGTGCGAGCGATGCCTACATTTTCAAAGGTCTCCTCTAGAATATTACTTTCTTGATCCTAAATTTATCCATTTTATAAAACTGAAAAGAGAAACAAACTAATAACATTGGTATTTCAGTTGGTTGCCCAGAAGACAGTGGCAGAAGACAGTGAAGAAATTCTCATTTCTTCTTGTGGTAAAAGACACTTTGGAGAACAGAGATTTGATGCTTCTGCAGGGCCACATGGCTTCATAAACCTGACATCAGCACTTGCCTTGTGCGTTAAACCTCAGCTACATTTGGCACTCCGGGCGTCTATAAACGGACTTCCCAGTTCCCAGCATCAAGGATCCCGCATGCCCCAGCTCTCCTGAATCCCAACCCTCCATCCAGTTAAGAGCAGTTCCCTCACCTTCCCAGACAGCTCACTCATCTAAATGACATGTTTATATGGCCATTCTTGATTTGTTAATTTTAGACATTCTCTCGCATCTACTAGGGAAGGGTAACGATGTAATGATTTGATGTCTTCTTCTTTTCCTTCTTCTCTACCCTTGGCAATATAGTCAATTTCACAAATCTTTCATACCGCTGGGTAAATTCACATTCAGGTTTTATAATATTATGACAATGAGGTATCATTCACACTTGAGTTATAATGATCACACTTCATTTCACATGCAGTTTTTTTTATTCTGCCCCTTTTTTGTTGGTTTAATTTTCTAATGCACCTAACACTACTTCTTCACTCACTCTGAGATAAAATCTTATTTTTATACTCTCAGATTTTATACTCTGAGTATAAAGTCTTGATACTACCCTTTGCCAAAAACACCATATAATCTATTTATTTTCTTTTTCTCTTTTTCTGAAGGTAATTCTCTAGCAGCCATCTGCCTTGCTCTCATCTGGACCATCTGCTGTCTGAGCTTGCTGCACAAAGGTCACCATGGAACTGCCCTTGGCCTCTACGTGGTACTG